TTTTATATTTATTTATTTAATTTATTTTTTGGCTGCATCGGGTCTTAGTTTTGGCACACGGGATCTTCGTTGAGGCATGCGGGATCTTTCCTTGTGGCACATGGGCTTCTCCCTAGTTGAGGTGGGCAAGCTCAATAGTTGTGGCACGTGGGCTTAGTTGCCCCTCGGCTGTGGGATCTTAGTTCCCCAACCAAGGATCAAACCCACGTTCCCTGCATTGGAAGGTGGATTCTTTACCACTGGATCACCAGGGAAGTCCCTGGCCTATGTGTTATTTAGAAGTGTATTTCTTAATTTCCATTCATATGAGTTTCTTTCTTTACTTTCTTTCTCTATGTTTTTCTTTTTGTTATTGCTTTTTAACTTAATCATATTGTGGTCTGAGAAAGTGATCTTTATCTGAGTCGTCTGTTGTGGTAGCCACTATCCACTTGTGTCTACTGAGTACTTGAAAGTTGGCCAGGGGACTTCCCTGGTGGTCCAGTGGTTAAGATGCCGTGCTTCCAATGCAGGGGGCGTGGGTTCAATCCCTGGGAACTAAGATCCCACATGCTGCGTGGCGTGGCAAAAAAAAAGAAAGCTGGCCAGTCCAAATTGAGATGTCCTGTAAGTGTAAAATACATACGGGATTTCAGTGACTTAGTCACTGAAAAAAAGAAATTAAAATTTCGTTAATAATGTTTTTTATTGATTACAAGTTAAAATGATAATATTTTGGATATTTTGAGTTAAGTAAAATATAAAATGAATTTCACTTGTTTCTTTTTACCTTTTTTTAATGTGGCTAGAAAACTTAAAAATACACCTATGGCTCACATTTGTAATTAATTGGGCAGTGTTGGTCTAAAAAATACTAGTCTTTTGAAATTTGCTTTATGGCTCAGGTTGTGCTTAATTTTCATGTATTTTACATGTATACTTGAAAAGAATGTGTATATTAAGAACAGTGTTCTATATATGTACACAGATTAAGCTTCTTCATTGTTTTCATTCAATCTTTTTTATCCTTACTGATTATTTTGTCAGCTAGATTTAGCAATAGTTAGAGAAATACATTAAAATTTCATGCTATACTGGTGGTTTTGTCTTTTTCCTCATAGCTTTGTCAGTTTTTACTGTATGTTTTTTGAGATTATGTTATTAGACGCTTATACATTTAAAGTTGTTATAGCTTTCTGGTGAAATTGCTAATCATTATGTAATGAGGTCTTTGCCTCTAATTATTTTTTGCCTTAAAGTTCGTTTTGTCTGAGACTAGTGTAGCTACAAAACTTTATTTTGGTTAGTATTTGCCCACTCACATATTACTCCATTTTTTTCTCTTAACCTATTTGCATTGTTGTGTTTCATAAATAGGTTTTATAAGTGTCTTATAATTGGATTTCCTTTCTTTAAAGTTCTGATAATTTTTGCATTAATCTGAAATATTAGTCCATTTACATTTGTTGTAGTTATGATTTATTTGACTCTATTCCTACTGTCTTATTTTGTGCTTTGCATATATCCTGCATTTTCTTAAACACTTTCTCCCTTTTATTACCTCCTTTTAGATTGATTACTTTTTCTTATTTCTTTTTATCCCTCTATGCCCTGTTTGTATTCTTTTGGTGGCTGTTGTAGAAATGTTAACACAAATACCTGACCTATCAAAGTATAAAGGAAGTTACTGTCTTTATCTTCCTCTGAAGTAATATGATGATCTGGGAATGCTTTAGTTCCAAGCATGCACCTTCCCAATTTATGTGCTGTTGTTATCTAGTAAGTTGGTCCTAAGTTATTTTTTTAAGCCCACAAATTACACAAATATTATAGTTTCATATAATCAGTGTTCGTTTAGATTTAACAACATAGTTATCATTTTCTTTGCTCAGAATTCCTCTCTACATCTCAGCTTTTATGTCTGGGATCATTTTTCCTTCCTTCTGCCTCAAGTTCATCCTTTAACATTTTGTTTATTGAGAAAAATAAAATTATCAAGAAAAACAATAACTCTCTTGGTTTTCTCTATGATATCTTTATTTTTTATTTTAAACCATTTTTAAAATTGAAGTATAATTTACAATATTTCAGGTGTACAGCAAAGTGATTCAGTTCACTGAATCTGTTCTTTTTCAGATTCTTTTCCATTATAGGTTATTACAAGATACTGAATATAGTTCCCTGAGTTACCCAGTAGGTCCTTATTGTTTATCTATTTTATATGTAGAAGTGGGTATATGTAAATCCCCAACTCCTAATTTATCCTTCCCCGCCCCCGCTATCCCCTTTGGTAACCGTAACTTTATTTTCTATGTCTGTGAGTCTATTTCTGTTTTGTAAATAAGTTATAATATCTTTATTTTATATTCATTCTCAAAAAATATTTTGTGTGGGTGCACAATTGATATTTTCCTTAAGCATATTGAAAATATTATTCTACTATGTTTTGCTTCCATATTACTATTGACAAGTTAGCTGTTAGTCTAACTACCATTCCTTTGTAGGTAGAATGTCTTTTTGTGAGAGGCAGGCATTATAGCGTTAGCGGTTAAAGGTGTGGCCTCTGGAATCAGACTGCCAGGATTTAAATCTTAGATCTTTGGTTTACTAGCTGTATGACACTGGGCAAGCTGATTAACCTCTCTGTGCCTCAGTTTCCTCTTCTGTAAAATGGGGGCAATAATGGTACCAGTACCTAACTCACAGGGTTGTGATGAGGATTAAGTAAACTAACAAGGAAAGCATTCAGAACAGTGGTAACACATTTTCAGTGCTATTAAATTGTTAGATTTTTTTTTCCCCTCTCTCAATGCTTTTAGGATCTTTTTTTAAAAAATAAATTTATTTATTTTATTTATTACTTTTGGCTGTGTTGGGTCTTCGTTGCTGCACGCGGGCTTTCTCTAGTTGCGGTGAGCAGGGGCTACTCTTCGTTGCAGTGCACGGGCTTCTCATTGCAGTGGCTTCTCTTGTTGCGGAGCATGGGCTCTAGGTGTGCGGGCTTCAGTAGTTGTGGCTCACGGGCTTCAGTAGTTGTGGCTCACGGGCTGTAGAGGGCAGGCTCAGTAGTTGTGGCACACCGGTTTAGTTGCTCCGCGGCATGTGGGATCTTCCCGGACCAGGGCTCGAACCAGTAACCCCTGCATTGGCAGGCGGATTCTTAACCACTGCGCCGTCAGGGAAGCCCAGGATCTCCTTATCATTGGTGTGGAGCAGTTTCACTATGATGTGTCTAGGTGTGGATTTACTTTTACTTAAACTTTTTGAAATTCACTGAGCTTTTTGAATCTGTAAATTGTTGTCCTGTATCAAGTCTAGAAAATTCTTAGCTGTCTATCTTCAAATACTCCCTCTGCTCAATTCTCTCCTCTCTCTTTCTGGAACTTTAGTTCCAGAGTGATATTAGTCCTTTCACTCTAGCCTTTGTGTCTCTTTGATTGTGTTTCACGGTCTCTGTGCTGTAAATATTTTGGATAATTTAAGTCTATTTTCTAGTTCACTAGCTTATTTCAGCTGTGTCTAATATGCTATTAAACCTATATATTGACTTTTAGATTTTTTTTTTTTTTGTGGTATGCGGGCCTCTCACTGTTGTGGCCTCTCCCATTGCGGAGCACAGGCTCAGCGGCCATGGCTCACGGGCCCAGCTGCTCTGCAGCATGTGGGGTCTTCCCGGACCGGGGCATGAACCCGTGTCCCCTGCATTGGCAGGCAGACTCTCAACCACTGCACCATCAGGGAAGCCCTTGACTTTTAGATTTTAATAGTTATTATTATCATATTTTTATTTCCAGAAGTCGTGTTTTGTCCCCAACCAAATCTGCCCTTCAGATTTTATATATATATATACATATATATATTTTTTGCCCTTCACTCATATGTTCGACATTGCCTTTTATTTCTTTAAACATATCATACATACATATGTTGTATTCTTGTCTAAAAAGTCCAGTTATCTAAAGCCTTTGCTGGTCTGATTCTGCTGCCTATTGTTTTGGAGCCTCATAACACTGGTATGTGGACCCCTGAGAACAGGGGCCAGTCAAAAGGTTTTGAAAGGCTGATTCATTCCCATGGTTAAAAAAAAAAAAAGTGAAAAGTCTCCTTCCCAACTCCCAGTCCCTTTCCGATTGGAAGCCTCTGTTATCAGGTTCTTGTGGATACTTCCAGAGATATTTCATGCAGATTCAAGCAAATACAATGAAAAAGTCTTTCTCTTTTTAAAGGAAATGGTAGCACACTACACACATTGTTCTGAACTTGTCTTTTAATTTAAAAAGTATGTTTGTGCTTATAAAAGAGACACATGCTCATTCTGAGTAACATAAATACCCAAGTGTCTACAAGTAGAAAGTGAAAATCCCCCTGGAATTTCATTCCCCAGAGATAACTTCTATTATGTATCTATAAATATATATTTACATAAATGGGTTTATGCAACACATACTGCTCCATAACCTATTTCTTTCTTTTTCTCCAAACAATACAGCTTGACATCTTTCCATGAATCTTACCATATCTCTCAGTGCTCTCCACATAGCCCAGCAGTTAAATGCCTGGGCTTCGGAGTCAGACAGAACTAGGTTCTAATCCTAGCTCTGCCACTTAGTAGCTATGGGACTTTTCAGAGCCTCTCTGAACCTCAGTTTCCTCATCTGTAAAATGGGGATGGAAATAGTACATAGTTCATAGTGTTGTTCTGAGACCTTAATAAGATCATGTATGACATGCTTCTTCCAGGGTCAGCTGCTTTATAAGCCCTTGATGAATGGTAGTTTTTTATTACTACTCACTCTTTTTAATGGCCACTTAGAATCCATAGTATGATATGTAACCATTTATTAACCATTACCCTTTTGATGGACACTGGATTGTACCCAATTTTTTTGTTGTTATAAATGCCAACCCAGTGAACACTGAATGTACATCTTTCACCTTTGTGTGTATTTTCTTGTGAATTCCCTGCAGTGGGGTCACTGGGTCCTCTGAATTCTAATGTCTGTTTCTTCTTTCTCTCCAAGGAGGCAATGAAAATGACCCATGGGGTGAAGCATGTGTATTACGTAGGTTTTTTCCTTTTTATTACTGCTGTTTTTTCTCTCTCTCCTGAGGTGTGGTGGGGTGGGAGGGGTCCTCCTCAGAGATGATCCCAGCCCCCTGCCCCAGCCTGCCCTCCTCCGGAGCTTCCTAGTACTCCCCACTTCCCATGACGTGAATCTCAGACCTCTACTTTCCCCCAAACCTTGGAACCTGACCATTCATGATCATTCATTCAAGGATTTGTTTTTAGACCCATCTACTTTCAAAACAATTCCCTGTGGTTTGTAATAAATTAAAAGAATCAAAACACACTCAAATGGGTTAAAGTCTAAAGAAAGCAAGAAAAGGGGAAGGAGAAGGGGAAATCTTGTTACAACCCCCCCCCCCAATCCTGGAAAGGTACAACATCTAGGCTTAAAGTTAATACTAAGCTTCCTGGAAGCCAATGCAAAAAGGGGAGCAGGAGAGATTCTATAGCTCATTAGAAGACCCAGAACCACTCTGCATCTTGAAGTGGTCATGAAGGGCTTCCTCTCAGGGGCAATAGAGGGGTGATCAGCAGGCTTTCAGAGGGCGTGGTGGACGTGTTCGCCACGTGGCTGTTTCAGGGCAAAAGGCAAGTCAGTGACCCTGGAAAAGGGGCATGACAGAGCTTTGAGGAAGAGAAGATGGGCTCAGAACAGAATATGGCTCCCTGGTAAGATGCATCTCTGGTCAGAAGGGTGAGAAGGGTCTCAGTACAGGGTCCAGGTAACTCTGAATGTGGCTGGGAGTGAGAGGGGAAGCTGAGAGGATGGGAATGAAGACAGGCTTCTCTCCTGGGATGGAGGCCAGGCAGTCAGCAAACATTTATAGAGCCCTCCTCTGTGCCAGCCTTTTCTGGGCATTGGGAATACAGTGCGGGCTAAGACGTACATGCTCCCTGTCCTCATGGAGCTTACAGTTCAGCGGGGAAGCGCAAGGACAGTAAACAATTGCAGGTGAGGTTAGTGCTCTGAAGGGCTCTTCTCCCCTGGCAGGTTGGTTCTGGGGCAGTGATCCACCTCCTGGGGGCCATCGGCTACGGCCAGGCAGGGGGGCTCCTGCCTCCGAAGCTGGAGGTTCTGGAGGACATGATGGAGGTCAACTCAGCCTCACCTGTGCAGAGGCCCAGATTGAAGGAAAGGCCCATGGCCCGGGGCCCCGCGGGGTGCCAGGTACAGGAAGATGTTCTTTACACTGACAGGTCTCTTCATCCTGTTGGGAGAGGCACATGCACACCTGATTCACAGAGATGGTGCTGCAGCCCAGAGAGACGCCGTGACTTGCACATGGTCACACAGAACGTAATAGCCAGAGGCAGAGTTAGACCTCTGCTGGCTGGCCGCCCCCGGGCGGTGGTCTGTGCATTCCTTCTCCTGCACTGCAGAGTCCAGGAGCTTGACGGGAGCAGAGGAGGAAGGGAGGGGCTGGGCCTCCATGCATGTGGGGAGAGAGCAGTCGTTGACCTTTGTTCCTGGCCACCCCTCATGTCCTGCCATCCCAAGATCCTCTAGCCACCTCCCTCAGGGGGGACAGCATGGGGCTCTGGCAGCCTCTCTGGCCCCTTCCACCATCCGAGGAGTCATTCCTTCCTGCCCCGGGGCTCCATCTTCTCCACATCCTCATTCTGTTGCAGGAGGGGGTCCCGTTCAGGAGGCTGGTGCTGAGTGTCCGGGGCTGAGTGCTTCTGCCCTGGCCACGCGGCATCCCTCCCTGGAGCACGGGTAGGGGGAATGTGGGACTGGGGAGGTGACTGGGGAAGCAGGGTCCCCCTGGGGCTGGGAGGCTGCACCCAGGGACAAGGCCTCGGGTCCTCACCCTCCCCTACAGTGTGGCCCAGTGGAGGCTGAAGAGGAGGAGCCTGGTGAGCAGGCACGGGGAGAGGACTCAGGTGAGGGGCCGTGGAGGGTGCCCCTCAGCAGCCCTCTGTCTTCTAGGGACTGCTGAGCACGCAGGGGGCTCCCACCCAGCTCTGGGCCCCAGCCCCTGCTAAGACTCCTCTCCCCTCCCACCCCCAATCAGCCTGTAGTCCTTCCCCAAAGGGGTGGGGACCGCTGGCTGCCTGGACTCGGCTCCCAGACAGACATCCTAGACGCCCTGTGTCTCTGAGGGTGGGACCCTTCCCTTGCCTGCCTAAGCCCCTCAGCATTGAGTCACCCCCTCCCCTTGCCCCTGAGCATCCTCTGGGCGCCAGAGACTCCGTTTCTCCACAGCTCAGCTTCAGCCCCAACAGGAGAAGCTACCCCTGGATATTGGGGTACGGGGCACTGTGGTCCGTGCCATGCGGGAGGCGCTGTGGAGTCGGTAAGGTCTTGTTCCACGTTCCCTAACATCCAGGACATCCTGAATGGCTGCCTTCACACACACCACCTCCCAGGGCTGTGCCGTGTTCTAAGGGCTTCTGTGTGTACGACTAACCCCATTTTATCCTGGGAGGTCATTTGCCCACACGTTTGAACCTGGGTCTCTCTGGCTTCAGGGTTGTGCTTTCTCATTAAGCCACTGCAACTCTCAGTGTCTGCTCAGGTCCTGTGTGGATGTCGCCCGCAGCAAATGCTTTCAGACACAGTGAGACCCTGTGTTGAGACTATCTCAGAGATCTGAGCCCAGAGCTGTCATTTTACTAATGGTGAGACCAAGGCCCAGAGAGGACAGGGTTTTGCAAAGGTCACACAGCAAGTCAGTAGCAGATTCAGGGTTGCATCCAGGGCCAGGGCTCCATCCCCTCCTCTGACCAATGCCTTACCCTCCCCCCGCCAGGCTTCCTTCCCTCCCTCCATACCCCAGTTCACTGGCCAGGGATAGAACAGCGGCTGAGCAATCCCATCTTACTTTTCTACTCATCATGTGGCCTCAGGCAAGCCCCTTATCCTCTGGGAGCCTCGGTCACCCCCTCTGCAAATGGAGAATGATAATACCTCTTCTTCACGGAGTTGGGGGGAGAATAAATGGGTTCATGTAGGAAAATGTCCAGAATAGAAACCAGAGTTGGCCCAGACCCTGCTCTCCACCCATGTCTCCCTCTCGGGCTCAGTGCCCTGGCCCTGCCCTTGTGCCCCACAGCCTTCAGGAGCGCCCAGACCTGGCGCTGAGTGAGGAGGCCGTGGAGGGCATCGCTGCCGGCATCGAGGCAGCCCTCTTCGACCTGACACAAGCCACCAACGGCCGCTACAAGAACAAGTACCGCAGCCTGCTGTTCAACCTGCGGGACCCCAGGAACCTGGTGAGTGGGGCTCCGGGCTGGGCTGGGTCCCCCTCAGAGGTGGGAAGCCCTGGCAGGATGTTGGGTGGGGCTCTCCAAGCGGTGTGGTACAGCCCCTGCCCCTGCAGGACCTGTTTCTCAAAGTGGTTCACGGAGACGTCAGCCCCCACGGCCTGGTGCGGATGAGCTCGGTCCAGCTGGCCCCCCAAGAGCTGGCCCGCTGGCGGGACCAGGAGGAAAAGAGGGTGAGCTGTTGGGTCAAGTCAGGACATGGAGAAGGGGTTTGGGGAGGGGGAGGTCCGAGGATGGAGCGGGAGAGACAAAGAGTGAGGAGGAAGGTGATGAGACAGGGGAGCACAGGACAGACAGAAACAGAAATGAGGGAACAGAAAGATCGGGCAGACAGGGAGAGAGTCAGAGAGACTCTTCTCACCAAAAAAAAAGGGAAAAGAGGCAGAAATGAAGGGGATTGGAGATGGAGAGCTCAGTAGAGAGGTGACGCCCCCGGGGGTGTTGTCTTCCACTTGCTTTTCTATGGAGCTGGGCTGGGGGGTGGGGGGACTGGGGATGTTGGCCCAGAGTCTGGAATCCAGGATTGTCATCTGCCATCCATGGGGCACAGACCCAGTGTGATGACCCTGCTCCAGTCCAGCCCCAGAAGTTCCAGAAAAGACTGGAAGTCTTCCTAGTGCCCCAGGCTGAGTGAGGAACCCCACAACCTCCAGCAGTTCACAGATACACCCCCATACACCCTGCATCCGTGGGTCTCTCTCTCCCAGGGGGAACTGCACAGGGGCAGGGAAGGTGTGGGCAGTGAGCCAGCTTCAGGAGATGCTTGCATAATGTTTGTTGGTGCCCCAGTGAGAAAGGGAGGGACTGATCGAGGGAGCAGGGCCTGTGGGGTGGGCTAGGGCAATAAGGCCCTTGTTCTGACAGACACTGGGCTGGTTAGAATTAATAACTGGAATCCATTAGGAGCATCTGTCCACTCTGAGCTTCTGTCCGGGCACTGTGGGCGACCAGGACCAGCTATGTAAATTGCGGAGCCAGTGCAGAATGAAAATGCGGGTGCTTTGTTCAATGATTAAGAATTTCAGGGACTTCCCTGGCGGTCCAGTGGTTAAGACTCTGTGCTTCCACTGCAGGGGGCACTAGTTCGATTCCTGGTCGGGGAACTAAAATCTCGCATGCCGGCAGCGCGGCCAAGAAAAAAGAAAAAGAATTTCAAGATGATGGCAGTATTTAGCATGGGGCCCTTCTAGGCGCAGGGCCCTGGGCTACTGCATGGAGCCCATGACCACAAAGCCAACCCTGCTGGGAGGACAGGGCTTCTGTCCTCCTGGGGTTGTTAGAAAGGAAGAGACAGGCTTTCAGGAATCGTTTCAGATAGGATGACACTGATCAGCAATAAGAATCACAAGTAGCATTTACTGTGAGCCAGGCTCCAGGCTAAGCACTCAACATAAGCTGTTTAATATGATGCTCTTAATTTCATTTCTAGAGAACAGATCAGCTAAGGCTTAGAGCAATGAAGGGCTTGCCCAGGGCCACACCATCTTGTGGGTCTTTATTAATGACAGCTGGTGCTATAGCGCCCGTGCTCTTTCAACTACCCCACACTCTTCCCAGGGCAGAGGGTGGGTGGGATACAGTCAGGGACAGATTTGACTCGTGCGAGAAGGCGAAGTTCAAGAAGGCTTCCTCGGGGAGGCCGGGTTTGAGTGGAGGGTGGATGAGTGGAAAATGAAGTAAGGAGGATGGTGGGGGGTCTCCAGGTGAGGGACTGGCAGAAGCAGAGACGTGGAGGAAGGGAAAGGGCTGGCACAGAAGGGGAGCCGCGGCGGGGGGGCCTCAAGGGAGCACTTGGGCTCTTGGTGGCCAAAGTCCTCCAACCCTGGCTGAGCTGGGGCTGCCCTGCCCCTCAGAGCCTGGAGATCATTGAGCAGCTGCAGAAGGAGCCGTGTAGCCTCCCGGCCTCCAAACTGACCCACAAGGGGGAAGTCGAGATCCTGCGGGACATGGACCAGACGCTGACCCTGGAGGATCTGGTGGTAAGTGGGAGCCTGATGTGGTGCCAGGCAGGGCCTGTGCCCTCGGATCCCACCCCTCACCTCACCAGGTGTGGCCTTGGGCAAGTCATCTGACTACGCTGAGGCCCACGGTCTTCATCGTAAATAGGGGAATGACGGTGGCCGCACAGGGTCTGGGTGAGCCCGGGGTGAGACAAATGCTGGCACTGGGCCTGTCCTCACTTTCTCAGCGCTGCTGCCCCTCCTTTTGGCCTAACCCCAAGGCACCTCATGTGAGTAGTAGTGAGTCCTATCTCCGCAGTTCCCCCCAACCTCAGGCATTCCGACCAGATCCCAGGTTGGGAAGCAGGAGGGACACACTGTTTGAGGCAGGGACTTTTTGGATGTAAGGAGCAGAGACTTGCTCTATTCAGCAGAAGGAATTAGGGATGCGCTGGCAGGGGACCAGCTGGAGTCCAGAGCAGCCTGTGCAGAGTGTCCTTTTCTTTGTGGGGGATCTGCCCCATCCTCCTGTCCATCCTGCTTCTTCCTCCCCCTCGGCCCCTCCTCCTTGCACGTGGCTCAACAGGATGGCTCAGCAGCCCTCGAATCAATGAACCCATCCCCTCAGCCTCCTGCAGCCAATCAGAGCGCCCCCTTGGCTCACTTCAGTCGCTATCAGGAGAAAGCTGCTCTGGTTTTGGTTGGGTATCCCGTGGGTCAGACGTTCACACCGGTCTAATCAGCTGTGTGTCCAGGATGGGGGGCTCCCTTGAGCCACGTTCGTTCGCTGAGGAAATGGCAGTGACCTTGACCGACAAAAATCCCTGCTCTCCCTCACCAGTATCCAGGCCAACAACCAGACCTCCTGGCTGTGCGGAGAGGAGCTCTAAGAGGGCGTGGCTGCTCCCCAACCCAAACCAACCTGTATTCCCTGAGTAAATTGAATGTAAATATAGGAGGAGGAGCCAGAGAGAGAGGGAAGAGAGAGCGGTCGGCAGAGTAGGGGAGGGGAAGATAACACAGAATAGCAACATTTCCTCCGATTGAACACCTACTATGTGCCACTTTTACAAACAATGCCTCATTCAAACCTCACGATATAACCTACGAGATGGGTGATGCCAGTTTCCTGGGTGAGGCACCTGAAACCGTTTGCCCAAGGTCACTTAGTTGGCAGTGGGGGAGACTGGAACCCAGGCTCTCTGACTCCAAAGCCTGTGCCTTGTCATTGCTCTGGAGATGGTGTTAAGGCAAGAGTGAGAGTTTCAAGATCTTTTCAAATCTTCCTGAAGCAATCAATGTTTGTTGTGTGTTTAAAGCTGTTTCTACTGGGCTACTGCATGGAGCCCATGTAGGAAAAAAGGGTGATTTGGCATTGGGCATCAAGGTTCTTAAAAACGTTCATTCTCCCCAATTCTGTCATCTGCTTCTGAGAACTCGTCCTAAGGAGATAATTGAAAGTTTAGGAAAATACTTTCAGCATAAGGATGTCCTCAGTGTTATTTGTTACAGTGAAAGCCTGGGAACGACCTGATTGTCTAGCAGCAGAGGTGATGCGTACACTCCAGCCCACCCCATCAGTGCAGTGTCTACAGGGACGGTATAACACGGCAGATACCTTTGCTGTGCTTTATGGACACATGAACCACAAAAGGACCCCCAAAACTCTGTGTATAGATAAACTATTATAAAGGAATACCCAGAGTATCAACAGTTGTTCCTAAGTGGTGGGACAAGGGGTGATTTTTTTTTTTAATTTTCAAATTTTCTATATTTTCTAAATTTTCTGTAACAAGTTCATGATACTTTTGTAATTAAAGAATATATTATTTAGAAAAACAAAACCACAGCCCTGAGGGCCCCCTACTCATGGAGGGCTGCTGACCTCCCCAGCCGCCTTCCCAGCCCACCCCTCTCTCCTCCTTTGCCTCCCAGGGTCCCATGGTGTCCATAGACTGCGGCCCACTGGCCCTGCCTGCCACGTCAAGGGGCACCACGGAGCAGCACGAGGACACCAGAGAGCAGCACAAGCACCACTTCCTAGACCCCAGCTGCCGCATCTGCATGGGTGGGAGGGAGACACAGGAGGGGCACAGGGGTGGTGGGTAGGCCGGGGCTGAGTGTGGGGTTCAGTGGCAACAGGGATTCATGGCTTGGGGAGAAGGTGGTGGGGTGGGGGTACCTGTGTTCCAGGTCACCTCAAAAAGGACCTGGTCAAACTCCATTTCTAATGCCCTGGGCTGACTTTAGCCTAGCTGCTGGCCCCCTTTTCAGCTCCTGCCTCTGCTCTTTGCAGACTGGAAGCCCTTGTATGAGCGGCCAGCCTCCTTCATAGCCACCAGGAGGATGGGGGATGATGCTTTCCAGAGAGCCCCAAGCCTGGTCCCTATGTCCTCTCCAGAGATGCCCCAAACCAAGGAGAAGCCTCCCACGGAGCCCAAGGACAGGTATGGGGCAGTGGGCAAGGAGGTGGGCAACTGGCAGGGCTGGTGGGGGAGGCCACCTGCTGGGGCAGCAGACACAGGCTGGGTTTTTCCATATGGGCTTAGGCAAATCCTGCCTCTTGTGTGGGCCTCGGTTTCCCCATCTGTGCAATGGAACTAATCATCCCTGCCTACTGGTCTCTACCACATAAGGCCATGTTTGGACCAGTGTTCCAGCACCCACAGTGGGGACACAGGACCTTCTCTGAAAACTAAGGAGCTGCTGGGGAAGCCCTGGTGACCTGTTCACCTGGCCCTGTTCTCTCTGTCCCTCCCTCTAGGATCCAGATGCCTGCTGGGTCCACAAAAGCCCTGCCCAGCCAGCCACCCTGGGAGGGGTCTCTGGACATGTTCTCCATTAAGCAGTTCCGGGTCAAGGCCCAGCTGGTCTCGGGGCACAGCTTTTGGCTCATCCGGGTACTCCTGCCCAGCTCGCCGAAGTCTCCCTTGCACACTGACCAGCCCAGTCAGCTACACACAGCCCCGTTCATTCATTCACCCACTCACTCCTTCTGAAACAAGTCATTGGCTCCCTCTCTGTGCTTGGCCCTGTGCTAGGCTAGATGCAGCCCCACTCCTGCAGAGACACATGGGCAAAGGACTCACTCTAACCCAAGGCATAAAGCAGGAAGGACCCAGGAAAAGGGTCTGGTGCATCCTGGCCCAGAGTAGGGTTTGAGGAGTTATTGTTGAGTGAGTGAATGATCAGCCACGTGTTGGATGAGGGTAGAGGGTTAGAGGAGGGAGTGAGGGGCTTCTGAGAAGTAGAGGAGATTGGCCAGGACAGGCTGTAGGCCTCCAGGGGTAGTTAGGGCTTTCCAGCAGCCACTGGGGCTCCTGATATACTGCCTGTCAATCCTCTTGGCCACAGGCTGTGGCTTCCGGGTAGCCAGTATTGAGTCTGCCTAAAGTGGGCAGGAAGCTGGGAGGCTGACTGGCCTCCTACCTGTCTCCAGGCCCTGCCCCAGGTGATCCGCTCTGCAGGCTGCATCCCCCCCAATGCTGTCTGGGACTTTCTGGCCAGCATCTGCCCAGCCGAGGCCAAGGTAACCACCCACCCTTGGGCACCACCTCTCCTTCTAGCACCATATCCCCAGCCCTGAGCTCTCTTTCACTCCAGCTCTGGAGCAGATGCCTGGTTTAAGATATCTGGGTCCAGTTCCCACTGTGACTGCAGACTCACTGTGTGAGCCTGGGCAAGTCCCTCTGTTTCCACCTCTGGAAGATGGGGCCACTCTTCCTCACAGGGTTCTCAGAGGTTCAGATGAGACCAGGGGTGTTCACAGGAGCAAAGAATGACTGTTCCTAAACCTGCTCTCCTTCCTGCAACCTCAGGACGTCTGCGTGGTCAGACTGTGCCCACAGGGCTCTCGGGACACCCAAAATTGCCACCTGCTTTATTCCTACCTCAACGACAAGCAGCGCCATGGCCTGGCAGCTGTGGAACAGGTGGGGGTGGTCCTGCTGCCCCTGCCTGCCTTCCAGCCCCTGCCCTCCAGGCTGCGCCCTCTTGGAGGCCCAGGTGAGTGCCTGATGCCCATCCCAGGCCCTGTCTCCCCCTCACTTGGTGACCAGACAAGCATTGTAGACACAGTCACCCCTGTCTCCATGGAGGCAGGCACATCTCAGAAGGGAACTTCTGAGATGGGCAAACGTGAGAACAAAAACGAGAAGAGCTCAGACTTGTATATTGTTTACTACGTGCCAGACAGCATTCTGAAAACTTCACTTATATTAATTCAGTTAGTCCTCAAAATAATCCCTTCAGGATGGTGCTATTAATGTTTTCACTTCATAGATGAGGAAACTGAGGTAGGGAGAAAGCAAGTGACTTGTCCAGAGTCACAGAGCCAGTCAGTAGCAGAAACTGGCCTCCTAACCACCACACATACAGTCTCTCCAATCAGGCACCTTGATGAGAAACTCACCAGTCACATTTGACCACAGCATAGCAGAACAGAGGCAGGGACCACCAACTGGCTGAAATTAGGACCTAAATAAAAGAGAAAGGAGAGATGTTTTCACTACAGCTATCCTGGGCCAAGCTTGGCTTTTGTGCCTGGATAGCCTCCAGGGCGTGGATCCAGGAAAGCATGGGAGGGGGCTGAAGGGGGTATCAAGGGGTGGACTGTACCTGTTGCTGAGTAGTGTTTGATCTTTCTGGGCTGCCTGTCCTGGGGACAGTGTGGTAGAATGAATCATACAGTCTTGAGATGAAACCATCCATGCCCCAGTCTCAGCCAAGTGAACCCTTTCACACACTGTGAGAGCAAATCTTACACCCTCCTACCTAACTTTCCTAGCATCTCATGGGCCCCATCTCACTACTGGAAAGCTCTTCTTGGGGGTCTGACCTCCAGACCTCTTGCCACAGCCAGAATGCAGCTTCTGGGGGCTATGAGTTCTCTCCGTCCAAGCCTTTGGTCTCTTTCCCCCTCTTTCTCCAGGCCTGGAAGCCACTCACGCAAGCCTGTTGCTGGCTGTGCTGCTCCCCAAGGCAGGGCTTCTGGCCACAGCAGAGTCCAGCCCCTTGTGGGGGAAGGTTCGCAAAATGCTCTCCTTGAACAGAAAAGCGGAGATGAGATGCTACCAGCCAGAGGCCACGGGGCCAAATGTGGCCCTGAAGGGATCCCCTCCCCTGGTGGGTGCCCTGCAGCAGGGCCAGGGCAGAGGCAGCCTGGCCCCAAGGGGAATCTGTGCTTGGCAGAGGCCTCCCAGAGGCAGGGGGAGACTGTGGGGAGAACCTGAGACCTGGCGGGGTCCTGGGCGAGGGCAACGGCGTCCAAACCCAGGCTGGCACCATTCCTGGCATCCCTATTCAGCTTCACCAGCTGGCCATGACCAGCACCTCCACAGGGCTTCCTGTCCCCGCCAAGCCCTGCTTCAGCATCTCAAATCCCTGGTGGCCATGAGCCACCGGTTCCAAGCCTCACTGAGGTCCCTAGGCCAGGAGCAACTTCCCCGACCTCCTGCCCAGCCTCCTGCAGCCCCTGGGATTCTTGGCCTCCTCTGCCAGTCCCCTGCAGCTCCAGAGCCCCCTGGCCCATCCCTTGACTCCTCTTTGGGGCCTACAGATGGAACCGGCTCTGAGTGTCCCCTTCCTGCAGAGACCTGACCCTCATTACCCACCAAAAGAGGCGCTTTAATTTCCTAACCAGTGCTGAACCCTGAGGTGCTCCAGAAAGAGTAACAGGGGCAGAGGAAGGGGACGGTTAGCTGTTTGAATTTCCTGTTCTGCAGTTTGCTTGGTGTTAATTTTTGGTTTAATAAAGAATTTGGCAAAGTTGAGACTGCATCTGCTGGCTGGACAGGAGGGACCCTGGGCCTGGCCACGTGTGGGTTGACGTGGGTGTGTCTGGGAGTTTCTGTGCACAGATACAGCAGAGCTAAAGTGTTAGGGATGGGAGGGGGCAGCCTTGCCAGCTGCTTGTCTGAGGTCCTTAACCATCACTGTGCGCCAGGGTTCAGCTGTTGCCATGGTGGGGCTCTGGAAGCATTTTGCAAGTATTTTGAACTGGGTGGAAGAGGTGATGGGAGAGAAGGCAGCACTAGGTTGAGGGGAGAGAGAGAAAAATGAGGCTTTTGAAGGGGCATAGACACTTAGAGATCGTTAGAGAGGAAAAGGAGAGCAAGTTGCAATGGATTTAAAATTTTTCAGTTACCAAGACTTTTTCCTTTGGAGAGTTGGGGGTCACCGCCGTAATCCCTACGCGTCTCTGTGTGTATCTGAGGGTCTCTGCGTGTGCGCACCTCTTGCCAGCTCCTGGGGACTGATACTGGAGAAAGCCAAGGGCCTTGGCCTGGGGCGTGGGGGTGGACATTCAGGATGGGGTTGGAGGCTGGTGTTACAGGGCAGGATGGTGCTGCTTTGCCTGGGGCCTGGAGTGAGCTCTTAACAGCAGCTACAACTGTAAGGCATCTCTGTGTGTGTACCTCCGGAGAGCTGAGTCTAGGCATTGCCATGGGAACTAACTGCCTCCTCACTACCTAACCCAGGGTCCAGAAGCAGGGCCTGGCTTGGAGGAGAGAACTTGTGGCAGGACCCCACCGTTCACCCCTGCCCCGGCCTGAAGGGGTGTATCTCTTCCCACCCCTTCTCTGAAGTCTACCCATGTACCAGCCTCACCCTGGGCTGGGAAAGATGGGGCAATAGTTGGGGCAGTCCCACTTCTCTGCCCCATGAGCTGTGCTGCTGCCCTACCCGCGGCCGACAGCAGAGGGGGCCCTAGGCCTTGGGATGGAGGTCGGGGCTGGCAGGACTGGAGGCCAAGCTGGAGGCGGGACGAAGTGTGGGAATTTAGCCGTAGGGATTGGGCGCGTGTGTGTGGGTGGGGTGGGGTGCCGGGGGTGGGACAAGGTGGGGGGACTGGGCAGGTGAGCCGGGGGTGGGGGGGAGCTCCGAGGGCCTTGTGAGGGCCTCAGTGCTATATGCAAATTACCCAGATTACCCTGCAACCTGCGGCTTGACTCAAGTCGGCAGCAACTTGGGTCATTTTCTTAACACAGGGCAGTTGGGGGACGGCTATGCGCCCCCTCCCTCCAAGCCCAGGACTTCCTTCCAGGGATACGGGAGACCGTTTGCTGCCTTCCCGAGCACTCAGGGAAGAAAAAGCTCCGTACTCTGGGCTGGGACTTCCTTTCGGAGCGTCAGTTTTCCCCTCTGTAGATGGAAGTGATCATGCGGCCCTCTGGCACCTCGCCCCGCAGAGAGGGCTATAGGTGAACCCCGAAACTCAGCCTGCTTCGAGGCTGGCTGCTGGACAGCATGACCTCCACCCACCTTTTGGCGCTAGTCCACAAGGCCCTTGCCTTTCTTTTGGCAGAGGAGGCCGGGAGCGCGGACTAGGCGAGCTGTTGCTAGGGGGCGTGACCGGAGGTTGCTGGGCTCGGGTTGCTAAGCAACGCTGGGCGGGGCTCACGTTGCTGGGCCGGAGTAGGCGTATCAGGGGACCCGAAGGGCCAGCTAAGCTTCCCTCGGTTTTAAGGGAAGGCGGCCGTCGACGCTGCTCTCCCCGCGACTTTCTGTGGGCTTCAGCTTCCCCTGGGCAGGACGCCGTCTCGGAGGGTCCTTCCGGTCACACCCTCCGAGACTCCGTTATCCTCTGGGCTCTGGAGCGAGGAACCCTGGGTCTTTGTGCACGTGTCTACGCGTTTGCTTGTGCGGTAGGGGGAGGGAGGGTCGCTTTTGGGTTTCCATAGCAGCCGCTCCAGTGTCACCCCATTGCTCCCAAAGGTTTGAGCGGTTGCGTGTGCAAATTTACATATATCTGCATGTCATTAACATAGAGGCGGAGCCGGAACTTGTTTGGGCAACTATCCCTGGACAGTTCCGTTTGCTTCTCTCTCATCCCGCCTGATGGGCACGTGGGCCGCGCATGCGTGAGTGTTTTGCTTATTAATGTTCCCAGATTTGGGGTGGGCAGGTGAACTGTAATAGTGACCACCGGTTCCCAGGCCCCGCAGTCACCTCATAGAGCTGTTTGGATGAATCTGTCCACATACCCTTGACCAAAGACCCAGTCCCAACGGGCAGTGCCAGGCCTGGTTGGAATCCCAGTTCTGCCCTTTCTTGTCTGTGTGGCCTTGGGCAAGTTTAGTTGTCCTCTCTATGGCTCAGTTTCCTTCTCTGTGGATAGGGATACTAATCCCTAACTCATCAAGTTATGTGAGGGTTCAATGGGATGCCACTTTTACATGCATTTCTTGCTGCTCTTGGCATACAGAATCCACTCAGTGGTAGCTCTCTCCCTCCCTCCATGGAGCCCAGCTCCTCTCAGGCCCCAGCCAAAGCAAACTGACTTCTTTGCAGCTCATGTCATGACAACTAAACACCCAGAAGAACTTCCAGATGTCAGGGCACACTGGGTTCGAGGCATAGGATGAGGACTATTAGTTTGCCTGTTTGTCTTTCTTGGAGGCTGGAGGCCAGGTTGGTGAGAAACACGGACACCCCCCCCCCATCACCACCACTACCACACACACCTTTACACCCTTGTCTCTCTCAGTGGCCAACTGTTTCCAGAAACCTTGCATTTCTGTCTCAAAACGGCAGCAGGGAGGTTGAGAGACTTAAGAGCCAGAGCTAAGGTGATCGAGAAAGTACTCTCCAGGACTGAGATGTCTGGGATGAAGCAGGGTCCAGCACGAGGCTAAGGTCAGAAACTTTGCTTGAAGAGCCATATATCTGAGCCTTTACCAGAGAGGACTGGGGGACCCTGGGGCCACTCCTTTGCCCTTTCTGGTCCTCAGGGTCCCCACTGTGGACAACTGGGACTCTTCTGCTGTGATTTGGGGTGGAGGGCTCAGTATGGAGAACCCTCTCACTGCTGCAGCTCTGTAGCAGTGCCATGGAGGAAGTGAGTTTTCTGTTGGGGCAGAGGCTGTGAGGTACCCTACCCCTTGAGCGTGGCTGGGATGGAGCAGTAGATATCCTGGAAGTTCTTGTTCTTACTTGGACTCTAATTGTTCCAGATAGCCTCTTCAAAAGCTGGGAAGTCCTTCCTGGGTCTAACTTTACCTTCCTGCTCTGGCAGAAGCTCCTTCTCTCCCTAATTTTTGCTGGTGTCTCTGTAACCTTAACAGCCTTGACTGATAGGGTCAGAGGGGAGGCAGAGCAGGTGTTAAAGGAGGAGAATCAGTTCCACTCTGTGTTGGTCGCTTAGTCCTCAGTTAGGTTCAGATAATTAAAATAAATGAGATTGTCTCCTATCCTGGGTAGAGGAAGGTTATTGGTGATGAAGAGGGAGTATAGAAGCTGGATTCCGATTGGTTGGTTGGCTTCCTGGAGGAGGTAGAATTACCTGGGGGCCATACCCTGCAGTTCGTTGTCACTCTGACACTATGCAGGACTACTGTCTGCCGGCGGATGGCAGTGAGCCACTTCCTTCCCTCGTAGCCACCTGTGCTCCACAGGTAAGGATTCTAGGGACAGGCTGAGAGCCTGGCAGTGCCCAGTTGGCCTGCTTGTGTCCCGCTCTGGGGGCCAATTAAGTCTCCATCTCTAGCCGCGCCGATTAACAGTTAATAAGGCAGCAAACACCTGCAGCTATGGAGGCGAATTAAGAGCAACAGTCGGCATAATACACAACCCGATAAGTGAGCAATTAACAACCGGAGAAAGATTAATAGAAGCAATTACATCCTACTCGGGGCTCTGTAAATACGACTGTCAATGGCTGACGGATTCAGTGCAGTCTCTCCTGGCCCCGCCCCAGGCTGCAGCCTCTGCAGGGAGGGAGTCAGGCCAGCCAGCCTGTGGATTCAGGACCACAGAGTCATATATACATGGGAAGTGTGCATATACACAAATGTAGACATACATAGACAGACATGCTCACGGAGATAGTCCACAAAGTGCAGTCACGCAGATACACACATCCTGTACTGTCACCCACACTCACATTGACACAACACAGGGCTACACATTGGTCGTTTGGAAATACACACCGACATACACAGGAAAATACCCACAGTGTCATAAACAGATACTTCCCTGTTTTAGGCAGAGCCACACAGACAACCAGACACACAGTGACACTCACATATACAATTTGGATATATAGACACACAGTTCCATACTCCTAGGGTCCCGGATGCATATGGCATCTGTCCTCCTTTGATGCCCACCTTGCAAAGTGTTGTGCATAGTGGGTGAGAGCTGCAGCTGGGCATTGGTTTGAGAGTACTGGAGTGCGGGTAGGAAGGGACAGAATATTTGTGAACATGTATGCAAGCATGTCTGTGTGCATGTAAGTCTAAGCGTGTATGTCCTGGCAAGAGTGTGTTTTACCGATGTATGGGCATGTTCCTGTGTGTAAGCACGCATGTGTCTATACATCTGAGTGCCTGTACGAGTGTCCGCGTGTCGTGATGTGTGCACGGGAACGGGTACATGTGCTTGTGTGCAGCGGATCTGTGACTACACACGTGGGTTTCCAGTTCATGTGTGATGCTGTGTCAGTGCCCAGGTCTGGGTAACTGTGTCACTGTACCTCAAAGTGGCTTTATGTGTGTCCTGTCTCTGTGTTGGAGCAGATGAGGGAATTCTCTGTGGGATGCTTCCCGGGGAACCTGTGACTTCTGCTGACCCCAGGGTCTACCTCCAGGGATCGAGGC